GGGGGCAACACGGGATCGTGGGGCAAGTGAGTGACTGTTTTTTTAAAAGTCAGCAGCTACAGTTGTTGTAGGTGCTGGCTGCTGGCTTTTATTTTTTTACAGAGTGAGTGGAACTCCGCTTTAAGGCTGCTGCTGTCCAACACCATATCCATGTCCAACGCCAGATCCATAGCAGATTCAGATTGCCTGGTATAGCACTGTTGGCCAGGGGAAAAGCTGCTGTAATACTCCTGGAATATCCAGGTTCCTGCCCTCCACTGAACCTCCTGTCTTTTTAGGCGTGTCAGGAATTTGTTCAGTTGCCAAAATAGCCTTTAAAAGATTCTCCCAGGGGAACTAGTGTCTAATTGTCCTCAGCACCTCACTAAATCCACCACTCCTACCACAGTAGAGCTTTGAGAGGAGGGACACTTTATGTTGCAATGACCACAGCATCTACAGAAGCTGTGAAAGGTGGTTCTGGGCTATCCTGCATTAAGGAAAGGGATTTCTAACCATGCCCAGAAACCATCTGGCTGTAAATAGGGATTCTTCTGTTAAGTTCCCAAGGCAAAGGGAAATACTCACCGCCTGTTTTCTTCCCCCTTTTTGCCAGAGCCACAGGGCTTGCTTTTCTAACCTCAGAGTCCACATGAGAGGAGGATCGTGCACAAATTCACCCCTATTAATTTACCACAGTAGGGTTTACATGGGGATGGCAATTTTATGTGCAATAACCACAGCATCTAACAAAGCAAGAGGAAGCTGTGGAAGGTGGTTTAGCAGAAGCTTCTGGGCTATTTGTCTCCACATCATTAGGGAGAAGGATAGCAGCACCCAGCATTAAAGGAAAGGGGTTTCTATCAATGCCCAGGGACCACTTGGCTGTTATTAGGAATTCTGCTGTTAAGCTCTCAAGGCAAAGGGAAGTACTCATCGCCTGATGTCTTCTGTCTTTTGCCACAGCCATAGGCTCACTTATTCATCTGCAGGGTCACAAGGAGGATAGTGGCCAATTTCACCCGTCTAAGTTGCTGTCCTTCCTGGAAGGCTGCCAAGTTAGGCCGTGTGTCCCACACTATACCCCCAGCACACACACATACCTCTCCAGGAACCTAAACATTCCCAAAAGAAAGGAAGGGAAGGACATGGCTATGAAAGCCAGGGGTGGCTAGAAGACAGCCTCTCCCTCCATCTCTCTTCCTTGTCCACAGAGAGAGAGAGTTGTACAGTCTGCTGCAGTGGAGGAAAACACTCTGTGTCCAGATCGCTGCTGTACATCCAGGGCACCTCTGAGGGACACTTGGCCCTCAGGATAGTTCAGCCCTCTCTGGCCTCCCTATGCCTGCCTTATAGGGGTACCATCCAACCCTCCCCAGTCTCCTGGTCAGTGAAAACAACAAACATTTCACTGATTAGGGAGAAATACAATTAATACTGAGGGTCAAGTGGAAGGGTGGGGACTTTTTACAGCTCTCGATTGATTGTGTTTCCTGTAGGGAGGAGCCTCTCATTTCTCAGGTGTGCCATCCTGGAAGGTGAGAGGAGAAAATGTAATAAAAAGGTGTGGTTTTGCTCTGTCTTTACTATCACTGGAAGCAATACTGGGAATGTTCATTTCCTGGGGACCCCCCCAAAATAAGGCCTGTCCTCGGGAATTGAGGATGAATGGAAATCTTAGTCTTTTGATTTGGCAATAACTTTGTAATTTCCTCATATAACAAAGTACTATATTTATTTATACAGACAAGGCTTTCTCTCAATATTGTCTTGTAAAAATTATTTAATACAATCCTCTAGGTAAAAAATGTAACAAAAAAAAAAACAAAAAAAAATTGGCCAGTGTAAGTTTTACAACAAATGTTCCCATAAATAAAAAGTGCACATTTTATTCCGTAATTTGTCTCACTTATAATGACATTAGAATCATATTTTTATTATATACTGTAATATATGCAAAGTTATTTACATATAAAATAAATGCATGACAGCTGGGAATTGCTGTGGGGGAAGCGGAGGATCTGGGTGTACTTACCATACCCACACAACTACGGTATTAAGATAACATTTTTTGGGACATGTTTAGTACTCCTAAGGTTTGAGACTGGTTGCTATCATATAAAACAGTTATGGTGGGTTTAGGTTGATGGTGGTCATAGGTACAGTACACCATTTAAATGTGAGCTTCTTTATCCTTATTTTAGTTTCAAATGCTGCTTTATGCATTCACATTCCTCTATAGACCCAGGTTGTCTGGTCAGTATAGTCATCTGCTGACTTAGAACCATTCACTAGCACTTATCTCTTCAATAAGACACAGAAGTTGAATTCAATGTAATTTGCTACTCACAAGTGCAGTACAGATGATGTTTTTCCAGTAATTTAAAGTTTAAAACAACAGTGACTTTCCTAAGCCCTGTCTCTGTTAAGCAGTAACCCTCACTAAGGGAAAATGGAAGAAGCTAACTAGGGCTGAACTAACTAGGAATAAACAGGAGGGAATGACAGAGGCAGATATCAAATCACATAAGTATACAAGTTGTAGCGGCCATAAACCACCACTAGATGTCAGCATACAACAGAACAATTGTAACCTGATACAGTTCTATGCAGCATTAAAAAAATGCATACAGATGAGACAGAACAAAGTAGGTTTAGATCTAACCACAGATAAAATTCAAGCATTCGGGGGAACCTATGAGGACAGCATCATGGAAACTATCATTGCTGATCCAGGCTGGAATCCTGAACCAAAACCAAATGCCTAATGAATCACTGGCTTGGAACAAGCATGCAGTAAGGAAGTTTAAAAGTCTAGTCTCCTATACTGCAGGCTTGTTATACATCAGCACAGTACTGGATAGAGGAGCCAGAATTAGGAAAGCCTTGGGTCCTGCACTTTTGAAAACAAATCACGGGCGGCACAGTGGATTAGTGGTTAGCATGTCTGCCTTGCAGTAAATGGGTCATGGGTTCGATTCCTGACCATGGCGCTTCCTGCATTGAGTTTGCATGTTCTCCCTTTGCCTGCGTGGGTTTCCTCCCACACTCCAAAGACATGGAGATCCTGTCTAAATTGGCCCTAATATGTGTATGTAAGTTAGGGACCTTAGATTGTACACCCCTTGAGGGTTAGGGACTGATGTGAATGTTCAATATATATATGTGTAAAGCACTGTGTAAATAATTACCTGAAATAAATCAATAATAGTAGCTACCGTATTTCTACACTACGTGTATATGGAAAAACATTCAGGGAGACGTAACCATCACACTACTTTGAACTTGTTGGTCAGCATCCCAAATCAGCGGACATTAATATGGAGTTGCCCACCTTTGCGACTATAACAGACTTTCCTCATCACTACAAGATTTTGAAGTATGTCTTGGAAAAGATATGTCCTTTTTGCCAGAAAAAAAAACCCATTTGTGAGGCCTGGTGCTGATGATGTTGGATAAGACCTGGCTAGCAATTGGTGAACCGATTCAACCCAAATGTGTTTGGTAGGGTTGAGGTCAGGTCCCTGTGCTGGCCACTCCAGTTACACTGTCAAACCATATCTATATGGACCTGGCTTTGTGTACAGGAGCACAGTAATGTTAGGAAAGACTAGGGTCTTATCCAACCTGTTTCCACATAGTTGAAAGTGTACAATTGTCGAAAATATATATCTTTCCTGACAGCGCCATGTCAGCCTACCACTGGGTATGCCCACCCATACCCCACCTGCAGGACCCAACATAAATTTGACTCTCCCAGGCTGGCATTCCTTCCTTTCCCTCCTCACTTTGCATGACCAGGCAGCTCCCTTTACCTGGCTGCAGAAAACTTGAGGCTGACCACCTGTTGTTCCCCGCTGTGCAGACCTTGGTTTAGGCCTGGTTCACACCAATGCGTTTTTTCATGTTTTTTTGCAGAAACATACTACAATCATTTTAACCTAGCATCCCATGGGATAGGTTCACAGCTATGCTTTTCTGAGCTGTTGCAGTTTTGGAGAGGCACAGGGACTTTTTTAAATGCAAAAGAAGCATTTTGCTACAATAGATTTCAATTGAGATGCTACTGAATTGCATGCAGTGCGTTTTTGCCATGTTTTGTGTTTTTATTCTGCCTAGCAACAAAAACATTTCCCCTTTAATAAAAATCGCCCCCTCCAAATAAAATGCCCGCAAAATGTGGCAAAAATGTAGCAAAAGCACGTATGTAAAAACACAAAAAGCGCTGCAAAACTGACAAAAGGCACACTGCAATGGTGTGGAAAAAATATAGCAAAAGCATGTATGTAAAAACACAAAAAGCACACTGCATTGGGGTGACCCAGGCCTACCAGACCCTTAAATAGCCTTCTTGCGTGTGGGTGTTTTGGCTGACATTTGGGATTGATGCCCTGCTAAATGCACGGCTGTTCCCAATGATGACACCATGGCTGTGCAGCTGTCTTGTATGTAAATTTGACAACATTGTAATGCCTTTTTATTTGTCTCTCTGATGATGCATGCTGCATCTTACTGTCTTTCAGTGATGTTTCTCTAGATTGAATGGATCCCATTATGGCAGCGGGAATGTCTTTCACAGCAGCTTGGGGTGGAATGAAGGCTCCTGCCTGGATGCATGTGAGCTATTTGATGTGTAACTCCACATTTATTAAAAAACAAACACCAAAAAGCAGTGCAATAATGATATTTACAAGTCCCTTGGGTGATCTGTATACATTGCAGAATAATATTGTAATCTGCTACAGAGTCCTACCTTTTTTCTTTCTGCCGTAAACAAAACATTTCATCCTGTCCGGCTTTCTGGCATGGTTGGGGTTGATTCATTAACCACCTGATGGAATCTTAGGACTCTGGTCTGGGAAGCTGCAGTATCAGCCTCCTTTTAGCAGTAAAACCCCTTAGAGGTTGATTGCCAAACAAGCTAATTCCTATTGCATTGAGATTGTTTTTGAGCTGCTTTGTTAATCTGCAGAGCTGCAATCTGAAGTACATGGGTAACTTTTAATATCTTTAAAGTGTTACTAAACCCACAACAGTACAATCAGTCTGTATATGCTGTAAAGCATGCTTGTTATACTCACTGTGGAACCTAAGGGGTTAATCCTCTGCATTGGGTAAAAATGCCATTTAATCCTGACTTCTCTGCTCCTCTCTTGCTCAAATGTCCATGTCTTATCTCTTGTTTAGGCAGTCACTCTGCACATGCTCAGTTTAGTGTGTATTGCTAGGATTTTTTATTTTTGGGAGAGTGCATGTGATCAGCACAGGACCAATCAACACTGCCCAGACACAGGTTAGGGATTTTGCATCCTCCTAGAGCAGACCGAAAACTCCTCCTGCAAGCTTTAACCAGTGCTCTGCTGGATACTGATCGAAGTCACAAAACTGCTCTAACTGCTGATGAGAAAAGATATTTAGAATTTTATATTTACAAAAATAATTGCACTTCCATGTTCTGTGTGAGACCGGATAGAGTGAATGCGGGGTCCTGGGTTTAGTAACACTTTAAATTACCAGACGGCTTGAGTAGCATTGCACATGCTATATTATTATTCTTAATGTGGAGTTTTTCTTTAGACTTTCTCAGTATCCCTGTTTGTCAGGGATTTGATTTTTACTGGGACAGGTCCTTGTGCAGCAAGCAGAAAAACTGTGTGTTGTTACCTCCTTGTATTTCTTACTGCCAATCCATGATTGTCACCTCATCCTGGTAGCCAGTCATTGCAAAGAAGGTAAGGGGTATCGTTCGGGTAACAGTTTTTCTTACAGGTGTACTGGAAGCTAACTAAAGCTTTGCCATTAGTCCATCCAGATTGGCATGCATCATGCACCACCTAAATTGGCCCTGTGCCATTCATGCCTTGGCAGCCAAAGCCCTGTATGAACCCTGTCTTGTTCAAGTAGCCAGGGATAAAGATGTTGACAAAAAATAGAATGCCACAAAATAGGTGGAGCACCCTATGTTATTACTCTCTGACTCATCAATCATATAGATGTGGGTTCATACCAAAAATTGAAAGCATATAAAGAAACAAACAGCCCTAAAGAAAGGCTGTAAAGTAACGATTTAAATTAAATCCAAGCAGAGTAATTAATGGTACAAAAATTGCTTTATTGTAAATCTCGCATAAAAAATGTATGAAACCTTGCAAGGTGAAACATACACATCAAAATAATAAAAACTTAAGCAATCCGGATTGCAGAAGCCTAAAGCTGATAAATATACCCAGCATCATGGATACGCTCCATAAGTTTAGTCCATTATCCACAGAAGTGGTAAATACCACATATGTGGGTAAATGAATTACGATATGTCATCGTTAAGTGAAAACATATGATCTTAGTGGCGTACTACTTGGGCAACAAACTGATATAAGGTCCGGTCATCCAAAAAGGAAAATTATGGGATCATTTGAACCCCAAGGAACAAAGAGTAATCATATAGGCCCATGTGCAAGCATTATCACCACTTATCAAAAAAATCAATGATAAAATATGGCACCATATAATCACAAGGGACAACAATACTGACCATATATTGTACACATAACTAATAAGCCTTGTCCCATTGATAGATTAACACAGACTGACAATATATCATGTGTGTCATTTTATAACCTGGTATAGAATAAAGCATTGCATTTGTATGAAATAGTACCAGTCATCCCCAAACGGAAAGGTAGTTAGATAGGCAGGTACTGACTCCACAAACCAATCTGCAATTCAAACTGACCAGTATGAATAAATATAAGTACTGAAGATCAGCTGTAGTGATAGTATTGAAAATAAAGTGTTGCAGGGATTGACCCCATAAATTTCACTGACATGCAGGCCTTAATGGTGGTATGGAAAGTCAAATGTTGCAGGGATTGACCCCATAAATTGCACTGACATGCAGGCCTTAATGGTGGTATGGAAAGTCAAATGTTGCAGGGATTAACCCTATAAGTATCACTGACATGCAGGCCTTAATGGTGGTATGGAAAAGCAAAAGTTGCAGGGATTAACCCTATAAGTATCACTGACATGCAGGCCTTAATGGTGGTATGGAAAAGCAAAAGTTGCAGGGATTAACCCTATAAGTATCACTGACATGCAGGCCTTAATGGTGGTATAGAAAGTCAAAAGTTGCAGGGATTACCCCATAAGTATCACTGACATGCAGGCCTTAATGGTAGTATGGAAAGTCAAATGTTGCAGGGATTAACCCTAAGTATCACTGACATGCAGGCCTTAATGGTGGTATGGAAAGTCAAATGTTGCAGGGATTAACCCCATAAGTATCACTGACATGCAGGCCTTAATGGTGGTATGGAAAGTTAAATGTTGCAGGGATTAACCCCATAAGTAACACTGACATACAGGCCTTAATGGTGGTATGGAAAGTCAAATGTTGCAGGGATTAACCCCATAAGATCACTGACATGCAGGCCTTAATGGTGGTATGGAAAGTTAAATGTTGCAGGGATTGACCCCATAAGTATCACTGACATACAGGCCTTAATGGTGGTATGAAAGTCAAAAGTTGCAGGGATTAACCCCATAAGTATCACTGACATGCAGGCCTTAATGATGGTATACAGAGTCAGATGTTGCAGGGATTAACCCCGTAGATAATACTGACATGCAGACCTTAATTGCTTCAAATGACCCAGAAATATAAATGTGCCAGCCTGTAGAAAATGTGAAATAAGGCATAAATAATATGTTGAAAGTCAGATGTTGCAGGGAGGGATCCCATGAACTCCCATGGTGATGTAAATCATCATAAATAAGTGCTTCAGATCACACAGGGGTATGGATACATCAGCATGATCAAGGCATGGAAGAAACTCCAATGAAGAATGTGCGTTGCGAGATCGTGATGGCATCACTCACCAATGATCTAACCGACATAGTGGGACTTAGCTGTGAAGGTGAACATTCTCGGGTATGTCCTGTTGTAGCCTTAGTTGCTGATCCAATCCCCGTGGAGGCCAGGGAGAGGTCTAGGAGCGTCCTTGTGAATGCTATGGTGCAGCGGAATGGTCATTGTGGATCTCTGTGAAGTCGCAAGTGAGCAACTTCACTTCCAGTGCGGTAAACTCACATGGTGTGAGAATGCCTTAGGACATCGCATCCGGGTGCGATGTCATTATGTTTATGTTGACGCGTTTCGTCTGCTAATCACTGCAGACTTGGTCAGAACAAGGAGGGGTCTATGAGGTGCTGCTTAAATAGCCCTCATATGCTAATCTAGCGCCCTCTAGTGTTGATTAGTCATCGATACAAATTAAAATCAATTAAAAACTATTTAAATGTGTACTTATAGTCTACATCCCTTATGGAACACAAGGGAAGACAGACCATCAAAGCATGTCATATTTTAAATTGAAGTAAAGACATTTCCTCCATATTTTCATTCTCATTTCAGATACTTTCATTTTTTTGGAAAAATGCAATTTCATTCAAATTATTTAATCAAAGAGGATCACATTTCACAGCATTTACTCAAAAATTAAGTTCTGTATTCAGACCCTTAGGAATGAGTGTATCCAGGGTATATATCCAGAACTTTTTTTCTGGAGTAAAATTTATCAAAATCTCGTCTTGGGGATAACTTTAGGGAAAAAATTCCTTTTACCTTTGGACCGTCGGGTTTACCATCATGTACTTCCTTAAAATGTAAAGCTAGAGGATTTTCTCTTTCATTGCCTGTGGTTGATATTTTACATTTACTATCTCTTAGATGTTCACCGACACCGGCCTTCAGGGACCTTTTGGTTTTGCCTATATATAATTTATTGCATGGACATTCCAGCATATACATAACCCTATTAGTAGAGCAGTTTATAAAACTGCGCATTTCAAAGATCTTTGTCTTGTCCGTACCGGTGAACATTCTACTTTTATCAACATATGGGCAGATTTGGCAGTGTCCGCAGACATACATTCCTATGAACTCCGATAGTTTATTTAGCCAATTTTCAGATGACAATTGTTTCTGATATTCTGAATGTACTAGTAAATCATTTAAATTAGAAGTTCTACGTGCTGTCACTGAAGGTCACTCACCCACTGTTAGCAATGATTGGATTGGCTAAAAGAACGTGCCAGTGTTTATTTAAGGTTTGTTTAACCTCATCCCATTGTCGGCCATATCTGGTGATGAATCTAATTGGATCTATTTTTCTTTTGGATTTGTTTTTATCTTTCTTAGAGGATTCAACTAAGCTTCTCCTTTGTGTATTGATAGCTTTCAATTTGGCTTTCTTTAATACTCCATGTGTATACCCCCTTTCCTTGAACCTTTGATACATATTTGTAGCTTGCTGTTTAAATTTTTGTAATTTCTGAGCAATTTCTCCAACTACAGAGAAATTGGCCAATTGGTATCCCTTTCTTCAACGAATCAGGGTGGTGGCTATCTGCATGGAGTAATGTATTGGCTGCAGTTTCATTTCTTAAGGTTTTAGTTTTTTATTATTATTTATCATTTTGATTTAACAGTAGTAGAAATTCCCAAAGTTGATCCTCATAACCATTCCATAGTATCAAAATGTCATCGATGTATCTTAGCCATTGAATGACATGGCCAAGATGCATCGGAGAGCTATATACCACTTGTTAGTAACCACCTAGCGGGGCCTCTAGCAGTCCACAGGACAGGATTCCCCATGGCGCGGAGTCTAAGCCCCAGTCTGCTTGTTCACCAGGGCCCCTGATGGTGGGGATGGGCTTGGAGCAGACAGGGACCAGGTTGCGGCCCCTAAGTACACCCGTCTGTGGTAGAGAGATCTGCCAGGGGTATGTGCAGGTAGAGAGCCTGATGTGAAGAGGTGGAAGACGGGATCTGAGCGGAATGGATGGATGGATGGATGGATGGCGGAGTAGTAAGTATGGTCAAACGGGCCGGGTCGGTAACAGTGGGATCAGCGTAGTACAAGGCGGCAGGCAGAAGAATAGTCAGGTCACTCGCTGGAGTCGGTAACAGAAGTTCAGATCAGGTATGGGGATTATCCAGAAGAGAGGTCAAACTAGCCAGGGGGTCAGAGCAGGAGAAGTCAGCGGAGGTCAGGTTCAGGCAAGGTCAGCAACAAATCTCTAATAGCAGGAACACAGGAGCAAAGATCAGACCATACGGCAACTTGTGTCTGTGCAGGGCTGGTTTAATTAGCCCGCCCTGCACCTGACAGGCGCAGCCAAGGTCCTAGTGCCTGCCCAGCACCGTCATAGGTGCCGGGTGCGCCTGGGTCCTAGTGCCCTGCTGCCTGCATGTCTTGACAGACACCTACGCATGTGCAGACCCATGCGTTGCGATGGTTCCTGACACCACTTCTTGCTCCCAAAGACCCAGGTGAAGGCAAGCATAAGCCAGGGTTCAAGGGGCACCCATAGAGGTGCCGCAGATTTGTTGGTAATTGACACCTAGGAACTGGAAGCAATTGTGCTTAAGCATGAATTCCAATAGTTCAACTATAAACTCATTCTGTGGTCCCATATTAGGAAAATGTAAATCCAGCAATCTCTCTACTGCCCTAACACCCCAATAATAGGGTATAGAGGTATAGAGTGACTCAACGTCAACACTTACCAATAGTATTTCAGAAGGAACACTACGGTTGTTCAATTTTAAAAGTACATGTCTCGTATCCTGAATATACAATGGTAAAGAAAAAACCATGTCTTTAATAACATCATCCAGATATTTGCCTACTTTCTCTAAAGGGCTATTTACAGCTGACACTATAGGCCTTCCAGGAGGTTTTAAGGTTTTTTTTGTGAATCTTTAGTATTGTGTAGAATGTAGGTATGTTAAATGTCTCTACTTTTAAGAGATTATATTCTTTATTGGTTAAAAGATTTCTTCATAGACCCAGGCTAATTTACGGTTAGGAGATTCAGCTATTTTTGAAAAAGGATTAGATGACATTTTTACATAAGTATTTGCATCATTCAATTATTTAAAGATTTCTTGTTCATAATCCGTGCTATTCATTAGTACAACATTTCCCCCTTTATCACTCATTTTAATAACTAGATTAAGGGCATTTTTAAGTTCAGTTAAAGCTGTTCTTTCTTCTCTAGTTAGATTATCAGGTCTTTTTTTATTCCAATAAATTTTTTGTAAATCAGAATGAACCAAATCCAAAAATAGACTAAGCCATTTATTATCGTTTAAATTAGGCATCCTTTTAGATTTCGTTTTTAGCCTAGTTAAGAGTTTCCATTTCGTGGACTCTGAAGTACCAGTATCATCATCACTATGTTCCCCTTCCTGTAGAAGGTTTAGTAAAGATGTTGACACCTAACAGACTGTTACATTCATTAAACACATAGTCAATAGACTCTAAGGCTAGGTTCACACTCTTGCGGTGCAGTACATTGCATGTGATTCGCACAAAAACCGCACTGCATTCCTGTGCAAATCACATGCGAATTGTGTGCAGTGCGATTTGAGCCATACAGTATGTATGGCTCAAATCACACCGCATCAGCACCAAAAAGGTGCAGGACCCTTTTTTGGGTCCGCCGCACTTGAATCGGATCGTATGGGTATTCACACCTATGCGATCCGATTCTGCACATCGCACCACGTTTTGCAGACCAATTTCGGGGTGTTGTTAACGTAACATACACACCAGCAGCAATTATTATGAACGGGGTGCGATTCTGATGCGGTGCAGAATTCGTACAGAAAACGCTGTAAATTACGGACCGCATCAGTGTGAACCCAGGCTAAAGGAATATTTCCACTCAAACTGTGAAGGAGTTATCTATTCTGGCAATGAGCAAGTCTCCTAGCCTTCCCAGGTAAACAAACCTCTTCAGACATCTCCTGGCTAGTTAATTTCCAGTGGCAGGCTGACATGGAGCTGTCAGGAAAACGGAAAATTGAATATCAAATACTTACCGCAATTTTCCTTTCCTGACAAGTTCCATGTCAGCACAACCTTCAACCCAGGTGCAGAAATTTAGCTATGTTATGCCGGCGTGGGAGAGGGAGTCAAATGTATGAGTTAGGTCCTAAAGGGGGGGGTATGGGAGGGGCATACCTAGCGGTAGGCTGACATGGAGCTCATCGGGAAAGTAAAATTGCGGTAAATATTTGATATTCAATTTTACGTTTTGTCTGCTGTCCCATAAAGAATAACCTATACTGAAAACACCTGAACTCACTAATTTGAACAGGAATGCACATACGTTTGGCCATATGTTGTACCTTGATATTACCACATTAAAAAATCCAAATATATTTAGATCTATCTATCTGTCTGTCTGTCTATCTATCTATCTATCTATCTATCTATCTATCTATCTATCTATCTATCTATCTATCTATCTATCTGTCTTTATCATATAGATAGACAGATTTTTATTTTTTTCTTACCCTTAATAAACATAGTAAGTACCAACATGCAGACACCACCAACAGTCTTATCTAAGTAGGACATTAGTATATTGGCTGAAAATCTACCTTTTTATATCCTCAGTGGAGGTGGCCAGAGAATGTTTTCAGCAGTTTTTAAGATAAGCTCTGAGCTCCTGCACCTTTGGCCAGAGAGAGAAAAAAAAAAACCTTCTCTGCAGCTGTTGTCCATTTTACTACACAAGAAGAAAACAATTCTTTGTGACCCTCAAGGGTCAGCGGTCCTGATCAAATGTTCTTCTCTTAGCCTTTAGCATGCATAACTTTGGATATTATTAGTTGCAAGAAAAGTATGCAATCCTTTTTAAAACACCATTATTGTTTTTGCCGTTATTACCTCATGTGGCACAACTTTCCGCAGCGTAACCACTCTTATGTAAAGTGTGTCTTCTTAAACAGATGGCAACCTCTTTTTTCCTTCCTGCACAACTAATGTATCCTTGTCTTTTGAACCATCTTTAGTATAAACTGTTCAATCTGTACGTTGGCCTTGAATGTATCTGCGCAAGCTAATTAATTCACTTCTAAGACATCTTCATTTCAAGCTAGACATGCCTGGTTTTTTCAAATCTTTCACTCTAAGTAAAAATTTTCATTCACCTTATTAAAGTGTTACTAAACCCACAACAGTAAAATCAGTCTGTTTATGCAGTAAAAAATGCTTGTTATACTCACTGTGGAACTTACAGGATTAATTACCTGCATTGCGTAATAAGGATGTTTGACCCTGACTTCTCTGATCCTCCCCTTCTTCCAGTGCCCCTCCTCTATCTCCTGATAAGGCATATCGTGTGGAGTCACTTTGCACATGCTCAGTTTGGTGTGTATTGCTAGATTTCGTTTTTTTTTTTCTTGGGAAAGTGCATGTGATTAGCATAGGGCCAATCAGCACTGTCCAGACCGAGGTCAGGGGTTCTGCATCCTCCTAGAGAAGAATAAAAACTCCTCCTACAAGCCTTAACATGTAGTCTGCTGAACACTGATAGAAGTCACAAAACTGCTGTAACTGCTGATGAGACTGATTTGGGGACTGGTGTCTTACAGCGGCCCTCACAAGGGTAGCGCTACATATACAGTCAGGTCCATAAATATTGGGACATCGACACAATTCTAACATTTTTGGCTCTATACACACCACCACAATGGATTTGAAATGAAACTAACAAGATGTGCTTTAACTGCAACCTGTCAGTAATGGGACAATTGGCTTCTCAGCTGTTCCATGGCCAGGTGTGTGTTATTCCCTAATTATCCCAATTACAATGAGAAGATAAAAGATCCAGAGTTCATTTCAAGTGTGCTATTTGCATTTGGAATCTGTTGCTGTCAACTCTCAAGATGAGATCCAAAGAGCTGTCACTATCAGTGAAGCAAGCCATCATTAGGCTGAAAAAACAAAACAAACCCATCAGAGAGATAGCAAAAACATTAGGCGTGGCCAAAACAACTGTTTGGAACATTCTTAAAAAGCAGGAATGCACCAGTGAGCTCAGCAACACCAAAAGACCCGGAAGACCACGGAAAAACGAAGGCCAGATTAGAGTTTGCCAAACGACATCTAAAAAAGCCTTCACAGTTCTGGAACAACATCCTATGGACAGATGAGACCAAGATCAACTTGTACCAGAGTGATGGGAAGAGAAGAGTATGGAGAAGGAAAGGAACTGCTCATGATCCTAAGCATACCACCTCATCAGTGAAGCATGGTGGTGGTAGTGTCATGGCGTGGGCATGTATGGCTGCCAATGGAACTGGTTCTCTTGTATTTATTGATGATGTGACTGCTGAAAAAAGCAGCAGGATGAATTCTGAAGTGTTTCGGGCAATATTATCTGCTCATATTCAGCCAAATGCTTCACAACTCATTGGACGCCGCTTCACAGTGCAGATGGACAATGACCCAAAGCATACTGCAAAAGCAACCAAAGAGTTTTTTAAGGGAAAGAAGTGGAATGTTATGCAATGACCCTTTCCAGAAAACACACCGGGTGAAAACGCTGAGATGTGAACCTGTCCCATAGGAAATCATGTTAAATGGACTGTAGTGTGTTTCTGCAAAACTAAAATGCTTAGGTGTGAACCTAGGGTAAAGTAGTATAAACTTTGTTTATTTTATAAACTGTAAACTTTGTATAATAAACTCTAGACTGGAGTCCAAGTTCATCAGGGTGCTATTGGGGCTGGAAACAGGGCGAGCAGTCTCTAAACAGGTAAGGGGGAACCAGTTATTTCCACTAGCTTCCTTGGGGTTCACCACTACACCTCATTTTTTTTTTACAGTGCACCCAAAGTGCATTAAGCAATGTGGTGTGCTGCAGCACAGGTGTGTTGTTGGGGTGCGTTGAGATAGAATTAAAAAATTACAGGTACCACAATGCACCTGCGGTTCTACCATGCATCACTGCAAACTACATGTGTGAATGGACCATTAATGGGCCCCTAATCTTGCACTTAAAGCAGAACTCTACTCAAAAGGGGAGTCCTGCTTTAAGGAATCCTTCCCTGCTCCTCTTTGATATTTGGCTTTTTTTTTGGGGGGGGGGGGGGGTAGCAGCTACCCTCTCCCTCTTCAGCTCAGATCACCTACGTGATCTGAGCAGAAGTCCTCTTTTCTCCCTCCCTACCCCCCAGTCTTCTGGGACACGTGACAGGTCCCAGAAGCCTCCCATGCCTCCAATCAGCAAACCATTACCAGTAGAAACCTCCACCACCTCAGCCCTGACCTTCTTCACTCTGCTACTGAGCGCCTCTGTCAGGAATGGACTTGCCAATGGTGGTGGGACTCACCTGCCTTGTGGGCTGCAGTACCAGGGCTGGCCAGTGGGTGCTCTCAGCAACCAGAAGCTCACTCCTGCAGTCAGCCATCACCTGAAGCTGATTGCAGGAGGTGTATTTAAGGAATGGCCAGACCTGCAGTCAGTGCCTTGGTGTATGTTTCCCATGAGCCCCTGTACCTGCATCCTGTCTGCTTCCTGCCTGATTCCTGATTCTGCTTGATCCTGTCCCTGAATGAACTCCGCCTGTCCTGACCTCGGCTATTCCTGACCACTCTCCAGCCTGCTCCTTTGGTACCTTGTCTGCCTGATTGTTCCTGACCCGGCCCGTCTGACTACGCTCTGCCTACTCTTTTGTGTCTTGTCTGCCCGATGATTCCTGACTCGGCCTGCCTGACCACCACCACCTCACCAGCCCTGACTGCTCTTATCTGTGTACATTCCGTTATCAGTTGGAGGTTTGGTTTTGTCGTATTGTGTGTTATATTTGTGTATAATAAACTGAATCACATAAAATCCTCCTGCGCTCTTATGGTAAGTGGTGGATAAAGAAACTAAAAAGCAGCCAGCATCTATCCCGCACCAAAAAAGGGTAATATAAATAGAATATAAAGTTGATGCAGCGCTAAAAAACTAAAGACAAAATATAGTATATATCCAGATAGTAAAATAAAAATGATAACATGACCCAGGATCGCCTGGGGATACAAAAAACAATAGCCCTTATAAGACTAATAGCAGTGATAAGTGGTTTAAGTGCAGGCTAAGGTGTCCATAGTTCATACAGGGGTGTAAGTGAATCACAGCACACTCCAAAGAAGGTGACCCCGGGCAGTCTTGCTGCAGTGGCCTCTCACCTCCACTCCACGACCCTACAGGGCCATAAAGCGTAATGTAGATCACCACGAAATCCTCCAATACGGACTCTTTAGATGAATGAATGAACAGGGACAGATTTCCTCCAAGTCAGTGGATGAATAGAAGGCACTCTCCTCCGATATCACAGCCGCTCATATGCCCATAAATGAGGAGATAAACATAATCCTCATAGTGTATTACCGCTTTATTTGAATAAAGCAACAAACAAAGAAAGGAAGGTAATCCACTTACATAAAAAACGGCTTGTATGGAGATGCAATGCTGGGTGTAAGCAGGATCAAAAAGGTGCACCAAGATGGCGTCACGCCGGAAGTGCGTCACCACGCTATTGCCGTCGACGCGTTGCGTCACGTACCTCGTGACTTCATCAGGACTGCTATTAGTCTTATAAGGGCTATTGTTTTTTGTATCCCCAGGCGATCCTGGGTCATGTTATCATTTTTATTTTACTATCTGGATATATACTATATTTTGTCTTTAGTTTTTTAGCGCTGCATCAACTTTATATTCTATTTATATTTGTGTATAACCCTTAATAAATTATATTGTTACACCATACTTAAGCCTGCGTTTCTCTGTGTCAGTTCACGCATCTCTGGTCTTACCGGGAGCCCTGACAGCCTCTATGATAAAATTGCACCCCTGTCCTGCCCAGAGCTGGAAACATCTGCCTACAACAACTATCATCCTCTCTGGACACTCTTGCTCCTCTCTCTGCACGCAGAACCAGGCCTCGTCTGTCACAACCCTGGCAAACAGAAGACACCAGAAGTCTCAAGAGACGCAGCCCCACTCTTGAGCAAGCATGGCATAAAACTAAATCCCTGAAAGACTTTACCCTCTACAAATCTGCTCTTCTCAAATACAACTCCAGCCTACATGCTGCTAAGCAAACCTACGACAACACTCTCATCAGGACCCTCTCATCCAATCCTCGTCAACTGTTTTTTACCCTTAATTCCTTACTCCACCCTCCACTGCCTCACCACCCACCAACTTACTTACTGCACAGGAGATTGCCAGTCATTTCAAGAAGAAGATCGGTACAATTCGTGATGAGAAATCCAGTGTCAAGCTTCCTCCTCCAACCAACATATCAGGCCCAACACCACACTCAACACTCTCCGTCTTCGACCCTGTTACCACTGAAGAAGTTACCAAACTCCTTTCCAAGGCCCACTTCACCACCTGTCCCCTGGATCCTGTCCCCTCACGACTGTTGCAGCCTCCTTCCTGCTCTATCCTAAACTCTCTAACCCACATCTTCAACCTCTCACTCTCCATGGGCACCTTTCCCTCCCCGCTCAAACATTCACTGGTTATCCCCATACTCAAAAAATCCTTGCTGGAACCCACCTGTTTGAATAACTTAAGACCCACCTCCCTGCTCCCGTTTGCCTCCAAGCTTCTCGAGCACCTTGTTCACAACTGTATGAACTGCTACCTCGCCGACATCAACCTTCTTGATCCCCGACAGTCTGGCTTCCATCCACAACATTCCACAGAAACTGGCCTACTAAAACTCACTAATGACCTACTAACTGCTAAAACCAAGGCCATTACTCCATACTCATACTCCTTGGCCTTTCCGCTGCCTTTGACACAGTCGACCACACGTTCCTCCTCAGTAAAACTCCACTCCATCGGCCTCCATGACTCTGCTCTCTCCTGGTTCTCCTCTTACCTTTCTCAGCGCACTTTCAGTGTCACATACAACTACTCCTCCTCTGCTCCGCTTCCTCTTTCTGTTGGGGTACCCCAAGGTTCTGTCCTTGGGCCTCTCTTTTTCTCTCTCTACACCTCCTCCCTGGGCCAACTGATCCAGTAACCTCCCATGGCTTCCAATATCACCTCTATGCTGATGACACCCAGATCTATCTCTCCACTCCCCAGCTCACCCCCTCAATCTCCTCACGTATCACAAATCTACTAAGCGACATATCAGCATGGATTTCACATCACTACCTTAAACTCAATCTTTCCAAAACCAAGCTTGTAATATTTCTTCCCCCCGATCCTCCACTCACGACTTTATCAACAGCACAACCATTGGTCCTTCCCCTCATGCCAGGGTGCTAGGCGTAATCCTAGACTCTGACCTCTCCTTTGGGCCCCACATCCAATCACTTGCTGAATCCTGCCACCTCAACCTCCGCAACATTTCCAAAATACGCCCCTTTCTGACCAATGACACCACAAAATAACTTATCCACGCCTTGGTTTTATCCCACCTTGATTACTGCAACTCCTTCCTCACTGGTCTACCGTTACACAGGCTATCCCCCTTTCAGTCTATCATGAATGCTGCTGCTAGACTCATACACCTTACAAACTTCTCTGCCAATCCCTTCACTGGCTTTC